CCACTATCCCATGATGCCACTATCCCATGATGCCACTGTAGGCCACTATCCCATGATGCCACTGTAGGTCACTATCCCATGATGCCACTGTAGGTCACTATCCCATGATGCCACTGTAGGTCACTATCCCATGATGCCACTGTAGGCCACTATCCCATGATGCCACTGTAGGCCACTATCCCATGATGCCACTGTCCCATGATGCCACTATCCCATGATGCCACTATCCCATGATGCCACTGTAGGCCACTATCCCATGATGCCACTGTAGGTCACTATCCCATGATGCCACTGTAGGTCACTATCCCATGATGCCACTGTAGGCCACTATCCCATGATGCCACTGTAGGCCACTATCCCATGATGCCACTATCCCATGATGCCACTATCCCATGATGCCACTGTAGGCCATTATCCCATGATGCCACTATCCCATGATGCCACTATCCCATGATGCCACTATCCCATGATGCCACTATCCCATGATGCCACTGTAGGCCACTATCCCATGATGCCACTGTAGGCCACTATCCCATGATGCCACTGTAGGCCACTATCCCATGATGCCACTGTAGGCCACTATCCCATGATGCCACTGAAGGCCACTATCCCATGATGCCACTATCCCATGATGCCATTGTAGGCCACTATCCCATGATGCTACTGTAGGCCACTATCCCATGATGCCACTGTAGGCCACTATCCCATGATGCCACTATCCCTTGATGCCACTGTAGGCCACTATCCCATGATGCCACTATCCCATGATGCCACTGTAGGCCACTATCCCATGATGCCACTGAAGGCCACTATCCCATGATGCCACTGTAGGCCACTATCCCATGATGCCACTGAAGGCCACTATCCCATGATGCCACTGAAGGCCACTATCCCATGATGCCACTGTAGGCCATTATCCCATGATGCCACTATCCCATGATGCCACTGTAGGCCATTATCCCATGATGCCACTATCCCATGATGCCACTGTAGGCCATTATCCCATGATGCCACTATCCCATGATGCCACTATCCCATGATGCCACTATCACATGATGCCACTATCCCATGATGCCACTGTAGGCCATTATCCCATGATGCCACTATCCCATGATGCAACTATCCCATGATGCCACTATCCCATGATGCCACTATCACATGATGCCACTATCCCATGATGCCACTGTAGGCCATTATCCCATGATGCCTCTATCCCATGATGCTACTATCCCATGATGCCATTGAGTCCATAAAAAATCTGGCATCTAGACCTCGACCTACGAACAAGATGGCGGCTCGACACACCTGCATATTTTTAGTGTTATTTCTCCAAACACCTGGTCCAGGAAAAACCTAACGTCTACCTGTTGGTACTTACGTCATGCGCGTGACCCAGGGCTAATCATCTCGTCTTTAAGGTCGTGATGTCAGGGATCAGCCTGGTTTCAAGGTCACGTGACGTGCATGTCCCGTGTAGGCCCGTGTGTGAGCCGTTCACTTGCGTTCACTCAACCGTGACCTGTAATCTGTCCGCGTAACGATCCCCAAGCCTGTTACGTCACTACAGATCAGTTGCTCTAGTCTATGTTAAACGTCTTGCCTCAAATAATCCTCTCATGTCTCTACTGATTTCTTCTTCCAACCGCTTTTTTTAATGTCGAGATAAGATGTTTTGTTTTCTTTATTAAAAAAATGACAAGGTTTATTTATGAGGAAACAATTTAGCTTGAAGATGCACCATAAATATTGTACATCAAGAGACTGCACAAATTTGTAGTTTATAGTTTGTAGCTGCCCATTTTTACATCATCACTTCCAACGTTATATCACACTGGTGACAGTTATACATAAAACAAGCTGGAAGTCATCTCCCCCATATTTTCTAGTATATCACATTTTTTAAATCGAGTAGAGTTGCGTAGAAAAAAGAATGGCGCACCAAATGTGTGTTATATATGGCGGATGATTAATGCTTTATAAAGAAAACATTGATTAATTTTTAAAAAGTTAATCATCTATTTTAGCCGAATTTTATGTACCGATTCATTGTTAACGAGTCTAGACTTACATGAAAAGTTTTGAAGAAATCGGTAAGGTAGAAGTAATCTATTTTAAGAGATCGCAAATAGCGTAGAGATCGGAAATGTTATACTTTTTCCGAAACCGTACTTAAGGTATCGGATTAGCGTTATCAGAGGTCACGGAAAAATTGAAATTAATCCAAGTATCAGATCTAATACTTGTATAGGAATTTTCGTCTACCTAACTGGAACAGTACTCAAGTTATGGTTTTCACACGGAAATAGAATAAAGTACCACTTCCGTTTACCGGCGTATTCACAGTTTGAAAAAAAAACAACATGAACATACAATTTAATACTTATATGTTAAATTTAGTCCACCTAACTTAAACAGTTCCCAAGTTATTGGCTTTTCAGAAAACGGAAGTAGAGTTAGTACCACTTCCGGTTACCAGAAATCATTCAAAAGCTGATACAGAACGACACATTTTATATTAAAACCAATATATAAAATTGTGTCAACACTTCTGAAACAGTACTCATACCGTGTTCACAGACAGACAGACAGACAGACATACACACAAGCGTACGGACAAAATTGTTATTCTGACACAGGGAGGTGTATAATGTCGAGATTTGTGAACATCTAGATTTCGATTTTTTTCATGATCACAGAACTTCCTCTCTAACTTCGTACACGAGAAAGTAAAAACTGTGGATTTCAGCTTCTGATTAGAAGTCTTTGTCGGATAATTCAGGCACAAATTGCTGTTAGAAAATGACTTGAGACGAGTTTCCCCGAGTCCTCAATATCTATTCATTTCTCGCCACCAACCATTTAGTGTACCCGTTTGTCTGTGTCTTATTCTGTTGAGATCAATGAAAACATGCTCGTCCGTTACTTTTGAGTCGTTGTGTTCCACCCTTGTTGTATAAGTTCTTTTGAGTCGTTGTGATCCACCCTTGTTGTATAAGTTCTACACAGAACACATCTGGCAACTGAATGCCCCCTTCACTCCCCCCCCCCCTCCCCCCAATTCCCTTAACACCTCTACCTCTACCGGACGAAATATAATTTATGTAGAAAATATATACACTGATGTGTACGAGGTTGAAAAAATCGACAACTTCTGCACATACTTTCAAATTAACAAACGAAACGAAATCGAATCTATCATCTCAGAAAATAAAGACAATCCATTGTGTCTTGTCATCTTGCAGTATATCACTTTCATTCATTGTGTCTTGTCATCTTGCAGTATATCACCTCCATCCATTGTGTCTTGTCATATTGTAGTATATCACCTCCATCCATTGTGTCTTGTCATATTGCAGTATATCACCTCCATCCATTGTGTCTTGTCATATTGCAGTATATCACCTTCATCCATTGTGTCTTGTCATATTGCAGTATATCACCTTCATCCATTGTGTCTTGTCATCTTGCAGTATATCACCTCCATCCATTGTGTCTTGTCATATTGCAGTATATCACCTTCATCCATTGTGTCTTGTCATATTGCAGTATATCACCTCCATCCATTGTGTCTTGTCATATTGCAGTATATCACCTCCATCCATTGTGTCTTGTCATATTGCAGTATAACACCTCCATCTATTGTGTCTTGTCATCTTTATGGGGGGGGGGGGGGGTGACACCATTAGGTGCCGCACCGGGTGACACCCGACCTCGCTACGCCACTGCACACACCCATATACCAGGAACCGCCTGACGAGATCAAGGTCTGTAGATTCCAGACATCTCAGCACCTGCCTCTCTCCGTTGCTGGGGAACACGGGAGAGAACCCGGGCCAAATACATAACTCTTGTACTTTTTTTAAACAAAATTTTGAGGGTTTTTTTTTTCATGCTTCGTGTTATCTTTGTTTACCTGAGGAGAAAATACGAGCTTCTAACGACGGCGAGTAAACTTGAAGGGAGGTGGCGGTGGAGAGGGGTGAGGGGCTATTAAGAGATAATTTCCTTCACTGCCTATCTCGTACGATTTGTTTTGTTAAACGACCCAAGGCTGTAATCCAGTTTTTAAATGTCCTTTATGTTTTACGACGGATTGTACTGGATCTAATCCAACTCAGCTGTGTATCTGTCCGAAATATCCATTGGAAAACTGCGCTTCTTTGGCTTCAAGTGTATCGTTGAAACCAAAACAGGCCATCTCACTAACTCTTGTAAGATCATAGCGGCATGAATGACGTCACATGGCCAAGGTTTTCAATAATGGCCATTGTGGTCAGTAGTGGTCAACATAAGCAGTAGTGGTCACACATGGCCAAGGTAGTCAATAATGGCCATTGTGGTCGGTAGTGGTCAACATAAGCAGTAGTGGGCAAGCTAGTCACGCATGGCCAAAACAAAGACCACAAAAACATGATCGATAATGAGCAAAAGTCTGTTAAACCATCTGAAACACTGTATAGCGCCTAATATTGGATTATCTTGTTCTTAAACGAACACGGGTTTCATTTTTAAATTCTTTTCTTTTTAAAGTTGGTGTTAAATTTTAAATCCAGGATTTATTTTCAAAGAAATTTTAAAATACTTTCATGTGAAACACATTTTCTGTACCTGGTTGTTAAAGCATTCAGAAGGTCACGTTAGTTCTGACTATCATGTTATTTGTTTTGTTTTAGAAATTTATTCTGATTTTTTATGTCGTTTTAAGATGTCATCAATGAATGTCATGTGTTTTTAATGTCATGTCAGTCCTGCTTCAGATGTCATCAATGAATGTCATGTGTTTTTAATGTCATGTCAGTCCTGCTTCAGATGTCATGCATGAATGTCATGTGTTTTTAATGTCATGTCAGTCCTGCTTCAGATGTCATGCATGAATGTCATGTGTTTTTAATGTCATGTCAGTCCTGCTTCAGATGCCATCCATGAATGTCATGTGTTTTTAATGTCATGTCAGTCCTGCTTCAGATGTCATCCATGAATGTCATGTTTCCCCTCCCCAGCCTGGCGGTAAAATCGTGGGGCTGGCTGTCGACATCGGGGAGGAACTACTTTTCTGGTCAGACGTCGCGCCCAGACAGCGGGCTATTTTTAAATCTAGGCTGGACGGAAGTGACGTCACAACTATAGTAACAGGTCAGTTATAGTTCAACAAAACCAATGTGTACTCTAAGCTCCGCCTAAAGTAACAAGGGCTGTAATAAGAAATAGGTTTATGTGCGTGCACCATGGTATCCAGCTTTAGGTCCAAATATTTGGTGATTTTTACGTCACGGCCTTACCCTAATGTTAACTCTAAGTGTTACGGCAAACATGCAGGGAGGGAGGGGCATGGGAGGGATGGGAGGGGCATGGGAGGGGGAGGGGCATGGGAGGGGCATAGGAGGGGGGAGGGAAGGGGCATGGGCGGGGATTAAACCCAATTTAAATAGTGTTTACCTGTGTTTTATATTTATATATGCCATTTCTCCAGTTTCTAAATGATGAGAATCTTATAAACAGCTGTAAAGTTTATTGTTCAGCACCACCTATCATTTACATCTTTGTTGAAAAAAATTCTTCCAACGGTTTAAATAACTTATTTTTTTATTCAACGCTCAATAACTGTAAGTAATTTGCTCCAAAGGTAGTTAATTAAACTTCTATTAAATATTGGACATTTAAATAAAATATAACTTAATATACTGTCTAAAAAGTAACAAAAAGTATTATGCTGCCAATGAAATCAGCTGTTAAAACTACAAACTGTCGATGGATAGCTAAAGCTTCATCCAGCCACTGGTCTACTGTAAGCTTCATCCAGATCTATATCTAAATAATATATCCACTCGAGTTTGAGTTAAAAATACGTTTTAGCTGCAGCTATGGTCAGGCTACGGGTTAGATTAGCTGCAGCTATGGTGAAGCTAGTGATCAGTCGTAGATGCTACTACCACTATGCGTGAGCTACCTCACACAAACGTCTACAAACACCGAGATAAAGGCCCGCAACTCTCCTGCCCTTTAGGCGTTTATTTTACAAGGTTATCTCTGGCCATATGCCGCCCATGGTCAGCCAGGGTGCAGAGGTCATAGGTCAGCAGATTTTATCTCACTACTCTACCGTTTGAGGTGAGCTGGTGGGGAGGGGGCTTTAAAGCAGAACTTACAAAGATAAAGTGAATTTGTTTCTTATCAATCTTTCAATTAACAACCTTTGTTCTAAAATGAAATACATTAATGAAATAACACTCTACAGATAAACTACTCTCACTATTTAAGCCGATATTTGGGCAGAAGCGTAGCGATCCATTCCGGCATCCATGGAAAATTATCCATTTTGCGAGCCCTCCCCGATATATATATATATATATATATATATATATATATATATATATATATATATATATATATATATATATATATACATATATATATATATATATATATATATATATATATATATATATATATATATATATATATATATATTTTAACGACGGTCAAAAAACGCATTTTATCCGTCACTTTCCCCTATTATGATGATGTCACAGTTAATTCCGTAAAGCAAGGTAGCAGTCTATAGCCCATAGTCTCACTACTAAAGCCAACATATAGCCCATAGTCTCACTAATAATAAAGCCAACATATAGCCCACAGTCTCACTAATAAAGCCAACATATAGCCCATAGTCTCACTACTAAAGCCGACATATAGCCCATAGTCTCACTACTAAAGCCAACATATAGCACACAGTCTCACTTCTTAAGCCAACATATAGCCCATAGTCTCACTAATAAAGCCAACATATAGCACATAGTCTCACTACTAAAGCCAACATATAGCACATAGTCTCACTACTAAAGCCAACATATAGCCCATAGTCTCACTTTTAAAGCCAACATATAGCCCATAGTCTCACTACTAAAGCCGACATATAGCCCATAGTCTCACTAATAAAGCCAACATATAGCCCGTAGTCTCACTAATAAAGCCGACATTAGCCCATAGTCTCACTAATAAAGCCAACATATAGCCCACAGTCTCACTAATAAAGTCGACATATAGCCCATAGTCTCACTACTAAAGCCGACATATAGCCCATAGTCTCACTAATAAAGCCAACATATAGCCCACAGTCTCACTAATAAAGTCGACATATAGCCCATAGTCTCACTACTAAAGCCAACATATAGCCCATAGTCTCACTACTAAAGCCAACATATAGCCCATAGTCTCACTTTTAAAGCCAACATATAGCCCATAGTCTCACTACCTAGGCCGACACTGCGTGACTAGCCCCTGTTAAGACTAGCGCAGGATTTGCTTCCCCTGACTTTGATTAGCTCAGCCCACTCAACACACAGCCCACACGCCATAACGTCTTACAGATGACCCGTGACGTCACCGCCGTAATGGCGGCCGATGACCTCTAGTATCGTCGCTTAATGTTTGCTGTTTGGAAATTTTCTATAAACATCATCAGAAGGTTGCCAGGATAGGTGGCTTCAAAAGGTTGCCTAGCAACCAAAAGTACACATGCACGCCTCCAATCAGCTGACAGAGAGACACAAATAATTATCTCATGACAAGATTATTGTTTGTTTTCAAATGGTGTCAGCTCCTGCATAGACGTTGCTGTGTTGCACTGACAATTCTGTTTGTCACTGACAATACAGTCTGTCACTGACATAATGCTGATTGACAATATGTTCTGTCACTGACAACATGTTCTGTCACTGCCGAGCTCCTGCGGCACTGACCAAACGGTCTGGCACTGATAGCCCAGCCATCAATCAGAGTTCTTTTCTGAGACTGGGAGGGACCGGGGGACGGGGGAGGGGGGGGGGTAATAAAACCACTGAGCCCAACAATAAAAAATCCCCATTGATTCTCAGGATAGAATATTCATATCAGCTGGCTTGGTTTGGAGTTCTATAGTTAACTACCAGCTATAGAAGTTAGCTTAGACTGGAGCCACACAACTAACTACAAGCTATAGCACTTTTCTCCTGGGTAGCTGACCTTAAACTAAACGCATACCTACACCGTGACGTTGCAGCTACACCCCACCACCAGCCAAAGTTATAGCAATACAAACCCCACCACACCAATACAAACCCCACCACACCAATACAAACCCCACCACACCAATACAAACCCCACCACACCAACACAAACCCCACCACACCAATACAAACCCCACCACACCAATACAAACCCCACCACACCAACACAAACCCCACCACACCAATACAAACCCCACCACACCAATACAAACCCCACCACACCAACACAAACCCCACCACACCAATACAAACCCCACCACACCAATACAAACCCCACCACACCAATACAAACCCCACCACACAGCCAGAGCTATCTCAAGAACAGAACACGCTAGGTGGCGCTAGTACATGATTTATTTACATCAAGGAATCCTTGTATCCGGTACTCGCACTGACGTCACGTGATTTCGTTAGGGTTATTGCTTACCTCTACGTTTAACTAAACAAGCAAGTAACTAAAGTTAGCTGTAGGAAACATGATCCCACCTCCCACCTCAATTACCACCGGATACAAGTGGGAAGTTGGTGTAACTTTGATGTAACAAGCACGGCCAACAACGAACCAGTCAGCTCCACCTGCCAACTGCTCACTTCATCACATGTAATGCACGCGCGGGAGTTAAGTAGCACGCGAACGTTACCCGAACCTTAAGGTCACGTGTTAAAATAAGACAGGTAAACTTTAACGCGATGTTAAACCAAGTGAACTCAACTACACACATCACAGTTAACCTTGTGGGGACATTCACTTGGTCTAATCTCTGAGTGGACATTCACTTGGTCTAATCTCTGAGTGGACATTCAGTTGGTCTAATCTCTGAGTGGACATTCAGTTGGTCTAATCTCTGAGTGGACATTCACTTGGTCTAATCTCTGAGTGGACATTCAGTTGGTCTAATCTCTGAGTGGACATTCACTTGGTTTAATCTCTGAGTGGAAATTCACTTGGTCTAATCTCTGAGTGGACATGCAGTTGGTCTAATCTCTGAGTGGACATTCACTTGGTCTAATCTCTGAGTGGAAATTCACTTGGTCTAATCTCTGAGTGGACATTCACTTGGTCTAATCTCTGAGTGGACATTCAGTTGGTCTAATCTCTGAGTGGACATTCACTTGGTTTAATCTCTGAGTGGAAATTCACTTGGTCTAATCTCTGAGTGGACATGCAGTTGGTCTAATCTCTGAGTGGACATTCACTTGGTCTAATCTCTGAGTGGAAATTCACTTGGTCTAATCTCTGTATGGACATGCAGTAAGTACAGTTGAAGTGTTTGGCTCTGGTACCGCTGTCCACTGCAGGCGAGGCGATCTGTCGTGTCATTGCGGGTTTGGATCCCGTCTGGAAAAAAATCTACGAGTCTTTTCTTGGCCAGTTCTGCACTAAGAACACCATGTTAACATTGCCATTTCAGTACCAACGCCCGCCTCCAACCCCTCTATATGTCGTGACACCCCCTCCACCGTGCTACAAATGTCAAATGTCTACAACAATGTTTTCACCCCTAAAATATTCTCATTTAAAATTCAAGCACACTAACACTGGCTCCCCTATAGATATTATTAAGTTTGCTTAAAAATGTAACAAAATCCCTTCAAACGCGTAGTTCAAGTGCACTATCTGTCTCTATTAACATTGATAGAGCACAGGTTCTAGATCATTGTACTCATTTAACACCAAATATTTTCTCTACATTGAAATTTCCTAGGTATTTTCTATTAATAGAAGCATTTTTTTTAGAAGATAGCAATGTATTTTCTTTAAATACTACTTGTATCTTCTCTATTAACACACACCTCCCCGGTGCCCCCCCCCCCCCCCCATAGAAATACACCATACATTGTTTTTTATTTACCTCCCCACCCCATCTCTCTAAGGATTTCCTTCAGAAAACAAAGCTTCCTTATTTCACGTGCTCTCATTAGAGGGCTTTAATCTCCGTCGAATGCAAGGAATCCTATGGGGAGGTAATTATGTCTGTACAGTCGGATCTATCACTAGATGTCTGCCTTGTTGACTTGATAGAAAACAACAGTCACAGCATAACTCTGCTGCAGCTAGGAATGTCTGACTTGTGTACCGAATTCTGG